ATGCATACAGGGGTCTATATAAATGCATACAGGGGTCTACATAAATGAATACCCCTGTAAGTATACAGATTGTCACATCTCACACAGGGAGTAGCATCAGACTTGCTGAGACTTTCGGACACCCTCAAACGTGACTAGATGCAGTCCACAGCAGCCCGGGCTTCGCCCGCGGCCACTGCCACCCGAGACAGCAACTCCGGGTTCTGTACACATTAAAATCCTCATTCGGGTGGCTTCCACTTCTACGCCCTTGTTGTTATGTTCTTCCTTGGGAATTCCAACAGGGTGTAATCAGACGGTGAAACTTCAGCTTGTCACCGTTAATAGATTGGCGACGCAGGTGAGGTTTCCGAGTCTGTCACCGTTACAACAAATACCCATCCTCCAAGGCGGCCGCAGATAAGAAATATGCGGGGGTCAGGGGTGCAGTATTTATAGGACGCAGCTGCAATGCAGCAACGTGCTAATCCAATTAAAAGAGCCAAAATCTATCGTCGGTGGTCCTACCTGATACGAGCATTACTCGTTGGTCCGTGGCCAAGTTATAAATTGTCCAATTTTATCATCTTTCTCGATTCTTGGCATGACGATTACTCGGCCACTTGGCTCGTTGTCCCTGGAAGCTTTGGTCGCCTGCGTGGTTAATTACTCCGCTAAAAACATGGGGAACTGGGAGGTCCTTTGGTTTATTAATAGACTGTGGGCCGAAGAAGAAGAAAGACTTGAGCTCACGCGATTGTCAGCCCTTGCGATAAGTTCAGCCTCGTCAAAGCTGATCAACGTTCGGCAATTAACGACTCGAACGCGGACTAACGAGTAATCAGGCACGACCACCAGCGATGAACGCGAGATCTGCTAATTTGATTAGGCATGTGGCGGCGGCACAGAAACTGCACTCCTGGTGCCCCCCACCATTATCTGCGGCTATCTCGAGCGAGGAGCCAAAACGTCGGGCCAAAAACGCCATGCTCCAGCGATTACCAAAAGTCTTTCAAGACTTACCAGCATGTCATCAAAGTCAGAAGAGACTCCACCGTTCAGGTGAGCCTCTTCGAGCCCCAGGTTGCTGGTGCGGAACTGTGGACTCACAGCCAGCGTTGAGCGTCTATGGGTGCCGCCGACGCTACTTTCTGAAACCATGAAGACGTCCACCAACCGGGCAAAGTAGGATGGCACGGAGGAGGCCTGCTGCACTTCAGATTCAGAGGGCAGGTCAGAAATACGCCAAAGGAAGGCTCGCATGGCGGGTAGCTGCTCAGCAACGAAACGGTTGAGAAAGGACATGTGCATTTCCTTGGCATCCCCGAAGAGGGTAAAATTGGCGAGATTCTGGATGGCTTTTGCAACCTAAATCAGAATTTGGGAAAAGGCAGCACATGGCATTAAAAAAATGAATAAAGGAATGAGAAGTGGATAAAAGTTGACTTAAGCATTGCTTATTCTACTGAGTCCAGTCGAAGAATTTCAAATTATTTGCATTGAACTTCGGTCTCATCAATGCAATAAACTCGTTCTGCATGAACTGTTCGAGGGCTCTGTCTATAAACCAATCATAGTGTCATGCCCACTTCATGAGACCACGTATACTGCAACTTGTCAATACAAGCGAAAATGCGCGTCCCAGGAAGTAATTGAAAGGAAGCAGATGTGGTCGATGAGACAAGAATTTCATTCGCCTGACGTTTCGAATTCCCTCGTGGATCCATCATTAGAGACAATAATAGAAACGGATAACTCATGTAAAGGTACATATAGTATAGTATACAGTCACTATAGTACTGCATACCTATGATAATAAACGGCTCCCACGCCTATCGAGGATAATAGTCCGTTTGTGCGTTAATCGCTTAATGGTCAGCGTGCGGGTCGTGACCCACTAAAACTTGTTATAAAAGGCCACGACGCCCACTTCTCGAACCGAATCACTCATCCTGCGGATATGACTTCTTCAATTAATTTGGCATTTCGAGGTTAATTTGGATTGACATGCACGTGACGAGTATCTTTCAGGTGTCAAGTCTCCACTAGAAGTGCACTACCGCTATTTGAGAAAACCAAAAGGCACTGAAGGCAAATGAATCTTATAGCAATTTAGGCTTCCGAAACATTTCTTTTTCATGTTCTCGGAGGAGTTCTCCGGGCAAAGTATAGGGAAGATGATGGCTCCTTTAACACCCTAAGAATTTTGGAACTTGTGCTACAGGAGCTGAGGGGAGAGAGATAAGCCTTAACGGCAGACCAGGCTGTCTTTTAGCGTTGAGGCGCTTATGACAATTGTCACCAGCACGATGAAGTTCAGAATATCAACCTCACTATGGGGACGACGGTCGCGAATGGAAGAAGAGGAAAGGAAGTATGACGGGAGAGGGAGAGAACGGAAATGCTCCTTTCTTTGTGTCGTCGTTGAAAAGTGAGAAGATGAATTAAGTAACTGTGTGCCATAGTGTCACGGATACAGACTGGCTCCTTGCTTTTAGTAGATTGAAGATAACGCAAAAGGTAAATTCCTCGAGGGGTCCGCACAAGGCACACAGGAAAATAAATATGAACAAGACCTCTTAACTGT